ACAGAGTAAACAAACTACTAATTTAGAATACTAAAATAAGGCTATAATGTTTGTGTAATGTATTTATCCTTTTATTTTGAGCGTTCATAATGGAGGTTTAGATTAATGAGGGCTCACTGCCCTCTGGTGGTCGAAGTGGGTAACACTGCAACACTCATGTATATTCTATGATCAAATATGTTCTAAATTAAACTTTCAAAATGATCAAGATGGGTCCCTTAGTCCTATCACTAAACAACGAGACGTTGTAACAACCCTTGGCTCATGCCTCTGATGTAATGATAGTACTTTGACGTAGTCCCTTGTACTTATATCTTAAATGAGAGCAGAAGATCAATCATTCCACAGGGCAACTAGGATGTACGAGGTGACGTGAAAGCACCATTGTTCCACCCCTGCTGGGCTGGCAGACAGCTAGCTAGCATACCGACACACACATCCTGTACAAGTACTTACCTCACAATCTGTTCAGGCCAAGTCGGCTTGTCCGGTGCGGAGAGTCAGAAGATATACGATTTTGTTGAGCTTAACATCATTTTTGATAACCGCTAGCAGCCTAAAATAGCAGTAAGAAGTAACGGCATTTGGCTAAAACTCCTGCTCTGGTAAGAATGAGTGGCCTGCCATGTTTACTCCCTTCTCTTCACATCGATTGATCATTGTTAAGCTAATTAACTTCAGCTCTTCACAAACAGTAACACTTCAACCTGGTGCCTATAGGGATTAACGGGCACTGATTTGGTTTCAGCTTGGAGTAGCTAAATTCTAAGTTGCTGGCTACGTGAGGTTTGTTAGTGTTTGTGATGCGAGAAGTGAAACATTTGGGAAATATGTCTCATGGCTAATGCTAGCTGCTAACGGTAGCAAGCTACTAAGATCCTGTTAAGAAAGAGCTGATGACAACGCTTATGTTAGCAGCATTACCTATTTGTTTGAGGTATGACATAGATATTGACACTTTGCAGAACAGATGTCATTGCTTTGGTGAATGCATGAAATTAAAGTTTTTTTTGTCCTGTTTTACAGCTGAAGACTTCCTTCTGCAGGGTGCTGGACTAGACAGATCCAGCTATGTGAGCTGCTCTGATGTGTGGATTTATGAACCCATGCAGTGCCCGGTTAAGACAGCTGGAGGGCCATTACTGAGATATAAGCATCCAACATACCTGCAGCTGATTTGGCTGGGCAGGTTGTCCAGGATTGTAGCAAACCTCCCCAGAGCAGCCTCCTCCCCTCCGCTTCCTGTGCTGCCCCTGTAGGTCTACTATGCCTCTGGGTTTGGGAAGAAGGAAGAAGGCATCCCCATTAGTTGAAAATGAGGAAGCTGAACCTATCCGCGCAGGCCTCAATGTGCCAGGTATGGATGGCCTAGATGGAGGTGTTGTCGGGCTGGGAGAAGGTGCTACCTCTGAAGGTCTGCCTCCTCCACCCAGCAGTATGCGACCTCGCCTCATCTTCCACACCCAGCTTGCTCACGGCAGCCCCACAGGCCGTATCGAGGGCTTCAGTAATGTCCGGGAGCTCTATGCCAAGATTGGTGAGGCCTTTGGGATACCACCGTCAGAAGTGAGTCATTCTGCTGATTGTTGTGCGTGAGGATAAATAGGTTTGCTTTAGTTCATCAATGGAGAATTTGGTAACTCATATTTGTTTCTTGTGTTCCTCCACAGGTTATGTTTTGTACACTGAACACTCACAAGGTGGACATGGATAAACTGCTGGGCGGTCAGATTGGGCTAGAGGACTTTATATTTGCCCACATTAAAGGCCAGAAAAAGGAAATAGAGGTGTTCAAAGGGGAGGATGCTCTAGGGTTGACGATCACTGATAATGGAGCTGGCTATGCTTTTATCAAGGTGAGGAACATGAAATGGCAACAATGTATTTCTTTTGACTGAAGTATCTACAAGGAAAGGCATGGTCCTGAACTAAATATAGGAATAATTGCTGCACATAAAGTGTGAATAAAACACTGTATAATGTATCTAAGAGAACAGAATGACCTAGATAATGTATTGGTTGACTAATATGGGTTTTGCTGTTTTCAGAGGATCCGTGAGGGGAGCATCATCCACCAGATCCAGGTCATCAATGTGGGTGATATGATTGAGTCGATCAATGGCCATCGCCTGATTGGCTGCCGGCACTATGAGGTGGCCAAGATGCTGAAGGAGTTACCCAAAGGCAAAGAGTTCACCATCAAGCTGGTGGAGCCTCTCAAGGCCTTTGGTAGGTGTGGGAGGAAGACACATGAAATCATCTGACGTCCAAGTTTAACTGTGATATTTGTTAGACAGTTTAAACTGCCAGTGAAGCGATGAGGCTCTGTCTTTGTTGGTGCCTGTTGAGCCAGTTTCTTCAGTTAGAACATGCGGCAGCTTGAAAAGGAGTACACATCAAAGCGATTGTATAAGGTGGAGTTTGTCTGAAGAGGAGTTGATAGTGTGACAGGGAAACGTCACAGCTAGAAATCAGGAAGCAAACCTGACTTTTGTAGAATGTGTTGTTGGGAATTTGAATTCTTTTGTCTTAGATATGATCAGCCAGCGTTCAGGAGGGTCCAGATCGGCATCAGGAGTTCAGCTGGGCACTGGTAGAGGAACGCTTCGGCTACGATCTAAAGGCCCTGCTACTGTGGAGGAACTGGTGAGTGTGTTTACAGCATCTGCTGACTAATAGCTGGTCTCTGTACTGTTTAGAAACTGTAATTATATTGTATCACTTGAGTTTGTGTGTTTTGTTTACAGCCCTCTGCATTTGAAGAAAAGGCTATTGAGAAGGTGGATGACCTGCTTGAAAGCTACATGGGCATCAGAGACAGCGAGCTGGGTAAGTGTGTATCCTGGCTGGCTTCATGATTTGTTTGTGTCATTTTCTGGTTTGTGTTCACCCAGTGGTCTCTGGCCTCCCTGTCTCCTCAGCGGCTACCATGGTGGAGCTGGGAAAGGACAAAAAGAACCCTGATGAGTTCGCTGAGGCTTTAGATGAAACCCTGGGAGACTTCGCTTTCCCAGACGAATTTGTTTTCGATGTCTGGGGTGCCATCGGCGACGCAAAGGTCGGACGAGTGTAACCACAGAAACTAAGGGAGCAGAGACACCCTCAAAGTTCAGCACTACTAGGAAACACAACACTACTCTCATGATTTGTTTTTATTCTAGTGTGTATACGCCTACTTTTATTTAAAAGAGTGAACCCCTTTGGGTGACTCTGCCTAGACAAAAGATAAATGGGAGAAGACGCTGACTGTGATGACTTCCCAAGTGCGTTTATTTGTCTTCCAGCTTTTCCCAGACACTACAAGCACGCTGAGGAGCATTCCTTTTGACCGCATCACATGAGCCTGCATGTCACTGTTGTAGTTGCTGCCAGTGGAACAAGTAGAGCACAAGTCTCTAATGTGGGACTGTTAAACAACAGCTAACACAATGTACAAAAGTAAACTAACAACAGAAGTGAGTAGATATTGCACTGTAGCTCACCTGGTGAGCAGCACAGTTATTGCACAGTACAAGGCGCCGGCCTCCCTGAGACACAGTGTCGCCCTGAACCACTCTGTTACTGTTTTACAGGCATGTGCTGTTACATTTTTCAGAAGAATTCTGCTGGATTTATGTTCTTTATTTTGGTAAAAAAATGTGTTTGCAGAAGAATCATAGTAAATTGTAGCTCCTGACTAATGGATCAGTGGTGTTTGTTTACTGTTAACACACCTCATGCTGTGATGACGTTAGCTGCACATTCCAGTCTTTCATGCATTTGACAGTGTTACAGGAAATCAGTGTTAATTTACCTTTTATTGAAGATTATTATATGGGAATGAGAAACAGACTGGTTTCCTGGTTTGTGGATCATGATGATGTTTTTTTTTTTTTTTTTTTTTTTTGAGTGCTTTTATATAAAGTGATGCTTATTTTAAATGAGTTTGTATAAGGGTGAAGAATTAGATACAGTGTTGCAGCTACGTTATAGAGAGCACTATTGAAGAAGAGAAAGTCGTGATGGAAAGAAAGAAAATCGATCATGTCTTGTCATTTAAAACTTTCTATACATTTTGTCAGATGTGTCCGTTCTGTGGTCGGAGCGGAACGACTCCAAACTACTTCCATCACACGTCGGAGTGACTTGTGTTGTTCATGGAGAGGAAGAACAGACAAAATGGCACCAACTACTCAGTGTAGGCAGACATGTCTTAAACACCCTTGGTGTTAACCTTTTCAGTATATCCTAATGTATAAAGCTATTTTGTAGGGTTGTTTCATTATTCAGAGTTATTCGATATATACATGGGGTTATGTAATGATACTAGAACACTGTAACAGAAAACACTATTTTGATGGCTTTGTATCACACTTGTGAATGTACAATTACAATGTAATAACAGACATGGTGGTTTTCATTTGTTTCGGTGTTTCCTGAACACACTCCAGTGCTCTGCAGCTTTTAAGCTGGGAGGGCATTGAAGAATCGCACTTCTCGCTCCTGTGTCCTCCTGAAATATGTATGACACCTAACCAGACAGTGAAATCACATTGAGTGTCAGCAGGCCCTCAGTGGTAATCTGATAATGACCACTGGTAAACTCGATAGGTGCTGGTCAAGTTCAGTGGGGTCACTTGCACGGCTTACGTGTGAATCGAGGAAGGTAGCGGACCAAGGCGCTCTGCCCAGTCCAACACGAACTATGTTTGCAGTACGTTTAGATTATAAACAAACATGTAGCAACGGTTTTTGTTGGTGTTCTGAGTTCTGTTTGCCTTTTAGTGTCACAGTGTCACTATCAAAAATAGATTTTCAAAAACCTCTCAGAGCACTTTAGGCAACATTTTTGCTATTTCTATGAGGAACAAACGTGTTTTGACTCAGCTGGACCGTAGCCTGTGGCTGTGAGATGAGGGTGGTTTTATGTCTTGTATTTACTGGAAGCGAAACGAGTTCTTCAAGTCTCTGTTGATCTATAACCCTGGTTGCTCATAAACTGTGTCCACATCACCCTGGACTGCAGGTGGTGAGGAGCACTTCTTCATATGAGAGTTCACTTTCTGCCTCAAACAACCACAGCTATATAAGCAACAGAAACTTGTCATGGCGTTGCGCCCGCGAGCTTCCTCTCAGCCTGGAAAGCTTTCTTTCTTCCAAAGTCCCAAGGTAACTTCAGCCCGTCGGCTACGTGCTGCTACCTCATTGTCTCTGCTGGAAGAAGAGCTCTCGTGTACCATTTGCTGTGAGATATTCAAGGATCCCGTGGTGCTTAAGTGCAGCCACAGCTTCTGCCAGGCCTGTCTACAGCAGTTCTGGAGCAAGAAGGCCAAATGTGAGTGTCCCATCTGCAGGAGAAAGTGCTCTCTGACAGAACCCACAGTCAACCTGGCCCTGAAGAATGTGGCCGACACCTTTGTTAGAGAGCAGAAGCACAAGGCAGGTACAGTGGGGCCAGGGGCCAGAGGGGTGACAGAGGAAACAGGGAGGGCAGAGGTGAAGTGCACCACACATGGAGATGTTCTCAAACTCTTCTGCCTGGATGACTTTGAAGCCCTGTGCTGCATCTGTCACACCTCCAACAAACACCAGGGACACCAAGTGTGTCCCTTGGAGGAAGGAGCTCAGAGCCTCAAGGTAATGCCATCTTGTCTATTTGGGTTTTGTCGGGGTTTTAAACAGACTAGCTGTTTTTAATCATTGGTGGAAATACACAGAAAGGTTTAATGATTAAAAGCCACATTTTAAAATGTAACATCATTGCAGTAAAACTCAGAAAAATGGTCGTATTAAGATGAACTTAGGATTTGAATGTAGGGTGTATATTGTTAACATTTTGGCACCTTCTCTACCCTCACCTCTCAGACAGAGCTCAAGAAAGATCTGATTCCCCTGAAGAAAAGCCTGCGTTGCCTGTATGAAGCCAAGGAGGAGTGTGATGACATGACTGTGCACATCAAGGTATCAGTAAAGATCCATGAAACAATAAACCTGCATAATTTGACTTTCACTGATATATAGCCGCTCACTGTCGGCGTCTAAACATGTTATAAAACAACAACAAAAAAAAACCAATAATGCAAAGTTACAGTGTGACACTTTTAGGTTAATTTACAAAAAGTTGGTGAATGAGGATTGTTTCAAGTTTGTTCAGAATCACATTATCACCATGATTTAGTATATCATTTTAGTAAAACTAAAATATTTAATTGGATATTTCATTTATTAAATATTTAATAAATGAAATATCAAATCAAATAGGTCAATCAAAGTGATGCTGTTAAACATATATGTACAGAGAAATACAAGGATCATTTTATGTACAAAGCATAAAGACATACTTCTATACACATAAAATAAAACTAAATTAAAGTAATTATCCCTGATCAAATTATGGAAGTCCTACAACAGAAGCCAACATAGAGCACTGTGCAAAAGTCTCACGCCGCCATTCATTTTGCTGTTTTACCAGGGTTGTAATGATTTCTCTCTTTATTAAGATGCAACCATAAAATACAGGAAATATGTAGACAATTTTAAAAAAACCACAACATTTTCAGAACAAAATGGCTTCTATAGTCCGAAGTCAGTGTTTAGTGTGACCTCCCTTTGCACAACTTGAGTTCTTTTGGGGAAACTGTCTTTAAGTCTTGAAACCATGACAGACCCTCCCTCCACCGTGTTTCACTGAAGGCTGCTATACTCATTCCTCCACCTCTCTCCAACTCTTCTTCTCACATACTGTAGACAACTGGTGGAGCTGAACGTTTCAAACTTCAGCTCTTCACTCCATAAGACTCTTTTCCACCGATTTTCACTCCGGTCTTTGCGAACTTTTGCGTATCTCAGCCTTTTCTCCCTGTGGTGTCTTGGCTGCTGTCCTTCCACAAAGGCCGATCCTGAACGAGCTTCTTCGGACTGTGGAAGGATCAACTTGGCATCCGGATGAAGCTGCCAGATGCTGAGCCAGGTCCTTGCTGGATTTCCTCTGGTCTCTCAAAGAAGAAGCTCTGAGAATCTTCTCATCAGATTTATTGGCCTTCCACTTGTTTTTGTCCTTGACCTCTCTGGATTCTTCATATTTCCTTAGAACAGCTCGAATACCACATCTTGAGTATCCCGTTTGTTTGCAGGTTTTTTTTGCCATTTTTGTTTTTTAATCCTGTGTACATATTTCTTGTATTTTCTCATTGTATCTGATAAAGAGACTGAGCAAAAAAGAAATATATTCATCATAAAATTGCTAAAACAACAAATCTAATGGTAGCCTGACACTTTTGCACAGGACTGTAGATAAAGTATAATTATTTTTATACATCTAGAATAAGCATTATGCAAAGAAAACTACAACACAGTATCAGTGCAGTACTGTTGTGTTGACCCTTACTGCCATGTGTGCTAGAACCAGACTCAGGCCACAGAGAAACACATCAAGGAGGCGTTTGAGAAGCTCCGTGAGTTTCTGCAGCAGGACGAGGCCACGCGACTGGCCACTCTGCAGCGGGAGTATGAGGAGAAGAAAGAGCTGGTGAAGAAGAAGACCGAGAGCATCACCAGAGACATCTTTGCCTTATCTCAGACTGTTGTTGCCACTGAGAATGACCTAGCATCCAGTGATGTCCTCTTCCTCCAGGTGAGTGGCTTTACTGGGCTTTTTCTCTCTGAATTCATTTGTCTATGCAAACAGAGTTTAGAATTCTCTCTCTTAATTTCAGAATTATGCCAACACAAAGAAAAGGTAAGCAATCTTTTATCTCCTGCAGTATGTGTTTATATCAGGTTCAAGGTACTAGTTACACTCCTGTGTGTCGTTTTCTTCCTAGAGCACAGATCCCGCAGAAGGATCCAGAAAAAGTGCCAGGAGCTCTTATAAATGTGGCCGAGCATGTCAGCTCCCTCAAGTACCACGTGTGGGAGAAGATGGTGGAGCTGGTCCAGTATAGTAAGCACTCACTTGATGCTGTGTCATTTGGTAACATGTAAAGTAGAATTGCGTGAACCTGTTCAGACTAGTTGTTGTTGACCCGGTATTGATCAATAGTTATGACCCTGTGGAAGACCAGTGTGTGGTCAGCATGCCTTTTTATTTATTTTTGTGCTTAAGGTGGCGTGCCTTGGATTTTGCGAGGGATTCTTTTCCTCTTCTGTGTAATTTACTAAATCTTTTTTTTTCTTATAGCACCCATTACCCTGGACCCCAACACTGCCTATCCCTGGTTGTCCCTCTCCACAGACCTGACCAGTGTGGCAAATAGTGGGTCCCTGCAGCAGCTCCCAGACAATCCTGAACGTTTTGGCCATTTTGTGTTTGTGCTGGGTTCAGAGGGCTTCACTTCGGGCTGCCATGCGTGGGAGGTGGAGGTTGGCGAAAAGGTGGACTGGATGCTTGGGGTGGTCAAAGAGTCCACTGACAGGAAAGGCCGCATCTCGGGCTGTCCCCAAGGCGGCTTTTGGATGATCTCGTACAGTGAGGGTGAGTACTCGGCCATGACGAGGCCCAGCACCCCGCTGCACCTGGAGGGGAAGCTGACCAGAGTCAGGGTGCAGCTGGACTATGACTCTGGAGAAGTGATCTTCTCCAACCCCATCAGTATGACACCAATCTACACCTTCACTGACTTCTTCACTGAGAAGATGTACCCCTTCTTCTGCCCCGGAGCCAACATTAACGGGAATAACCCCAAACCCCTTAAGATCTGCCCAGCCAAAGTGGCTGTGTGGAACAGTGTGACTTGGTGATTTGAAAAACCTTCCAGAGGACATTAGTATATATCAAAGAAATTACTCATGTGAATCAATTTATTTAAGATCATGTCAGTGTATGTTTGTATGTAAAATGAACACAATACATTACTGAGTAATTAAAACAATTGTTGGTTCATTTCATTTGTATTTGTTCATTGATTGATTGCAGTGAATGGAGGACAAAGTGGCTGATTAAAGCTACCAGGGAAGGGTTTTGCCAGAATAATCCAGGAAGCCTCCATTCTGCTTCTTTGTCAGGGTGGCTATCACATTTAGCATCCCCTTCACACTCTCCTGAGCATCCAGCTCCCCCTGGTGGTCACAAACAGACACATGTCACAAAAAATACAATCTCGTGTGTCTTCCTGAAGACCAGTTGTAGATTCTACAACTTCATTTACAATCGAAGTAGTCCAGATCTGCTTTTTTCCACAAATGTGACACAAATCTATTTTGCAATGTAAACATACCCAAGCTGACATTTTTAGTTCTGACAATTTTTATGTGTGATCCATACAGGTTTGTGCCAGCTCAACCTGAAAGTCCAGTCAATGAATTTTCTGTCTACCTATGTTGGAAACTGTAGGTATGGAGGACAGCTGCAGTCACGGGGATTCAGGTACAGTGACATGTAAGACTGCAAAACAATTTAAAATGATGCCTCAGTACAATGGATATTTATCTCAAGGATCAATATTGTAATGCAGTTATTCCTCCCATGAAACACAGGAGCTATAATCAGAGTTAAATTAAAATGGCCTCATGTTTGTGTCTACTTGTGCATAAGCAGAGCTCAGTTATTTCACAAAGCAGAATAAGATAATCAGAAAAATACATGTCTGACTATGTTATATTCTGATGAACAGGATTTGAATATAGAAAATAATACTTTAAAATTAAGCTTAATGAAAGCAAATGATGACATGCAAAAAGGCTGCATAAGGTATTTGTCAATACAGAGACCCGTCTAACTTGATAATCCTAATGTTGTTGCAGGTGTTTAACTTGTTCAGACAGATACTGGACAAATTAGGAGTGTGAGCATTACGCAACATAAAACATGTGAATTGAATACCCAAATCCTTTAATGGGAACATAGCCTAACAATTTTGGTCACCATGAGAACTGTGCACTGTCTTATTTTTCTCTGTGGGTGGTGTGCTATTTTAAAGCTTTACACAATGATTGCATAAGGGCTCAGAACCATTGACTGTGAAATGTTCATACAGCCTGATGTTAATATCGTGCTTCTTAATTAAAAACGTAAACCATCACTGAGAGTTGACTCCAGTTGTAGTACACTGTTTCACTGAAAACCTGCTGACTCACCATGGGTCCACCCATGTCGGTGCGCACCCAGCCGGGGTGCAGCACTGAAAACAGCACTCCATCTTTCTTCAGCTCTTCTGAAGCACACAGGGTCAACATGTTCATGCCGGCCTGGTGTGAGAGGAGTGGGAGAAAAAGGAGGGGGGAGGAAAAAAGTAATGGTGGTGATGAGGCAACAAGTTCCTTCAATGAGTGCAAGATGAAGCCTGTGAGTAGCAGGTTGTCACCTTGCTGATGCGATAGGAGAGGGCAGGTAAGAAGGTGTATGAGTATGGTACAGACTCCAGTGCACCCAGAAGCGCCCCGATGTTGATGACAGCTGCCTTTTTGCTGGACATACCTGGGATGCCACTGGCCTTCGCCGCTGTTTTAAGCAGAGGCTGGAACTCCTGATGATGAACAGCAGGAGGGAGAGAAAAGTGGGTAAGATGGAAACATTATTATTCAGAGAAAAAAAAGCTGTATTCAAGCTGTGTGTTAATTAAGACGCTCGGTCCTAGTCTATTCTTAACCTTAATGATGTTCATAGGGCCCACAACATTGGTGTTGAAACTAGTGTGCATGTCCTCCGGGCTGGTGTCCTGCAGGTTACCTCTGAGTAGGATCCCTGCATTGTTAATCAGCAGGTTGAGGCCCCCAGTCCCCACCAGAGAGCCCACCTGCTGGGCAGCTGTTTTTATGCTACAAAGGTCAGTGACATCTGACAGAGGGGGAAAGGAAGCGAAGCATCAATAGTAGAACATCAGATAAATATCAGAACACTGCTGCTCATAGTCTTCAGAACATTGGATCAGGACAGAGGGCTAACAGAATGTAACAAAGGAACAGAGGGGCCATACCAAGATGGAGGACGGTGATGATGTTAGGGTACTTGCTTGCCAGTGTTTTCAAGCCCTGTAAATGCAGAGAAAACTATTTTATGAGAAAGCAAAGAATCCCACAAACGTATACTTTTATCTATGTAAGATCAATGCTTCTTCTCAGTTTATAAATCACTGCAACATTGTTGTTTGATTTTATTATTATTATTTTCTAACATTTTGGTCCAAAACATGAAGAAATCAAGAACTTAAGTGCATCACAGAGGAAGTTAAGACTCTCACCTCAGCCTTGGGTCTGTCTGGGTCCCTGCAACAGGCAAACAGTATCCCCAGTGAATGGTAGCGCTCCACCATTTGCTTTACCATCTCCAGCCCCAGACCTCTGTTGGCTCCAGTGATTAGCACGCTGGCTGGTTTAGTTGCCATTTTCTCTTTTTCTCTGCCTCAGTGTGCACACGTGTTCCTCTATGGCTATCAAAAATGTTACAAATGCGTGTTTAACGTTTTGTCTGTAACAAGCGAGGTGTGTGTGTGTGTGTGTGTGTCATGAGGATCACAAATGCGTGCTGCGCAATCTGCACGTATAAAGCCATTTGTGTGTGTGTGTCATGCTGTTCACAAATGCATGCTGTACAAACTGCACATAAAACACATTTTACAAATGCTTAAAATCGATTTTTTGTGTGCAGTTCTTTAAAAAGTACGTACACATTGTTACCTACGCATGCGTGGATCGTCTAACACACGAATCACCTTCCGCGCACACACGGATTTTTGAGAGTGTTTTTCCGCACTCTCAAAAGTCCACGATCCACGATACTTTTGTTTGGGAAACAGGTTTGGAAACTCAGATGTCCGAGTTTTCCACGTGTCCTTAAACGCACCGTGCATTCGTGGATCGTGGACTTTTGAGAGTGCGGAAAAACACTCAAAAATCCGTGTGTGCGCAGAAGGTGATTCGTGTGTGTTAGACGATCCACGCATGCGTAGGTAGCAATGTGTACGTACTTTCTAAAGAACTGCACACACAAAAACTTTGGGCTCTTATTTAACCCATGTTGAATGTATGGTCCTTAACACAGCCACGCCCATGTTCTCATATCGCAGTGTATACTTTACATTATATCTTTAGCTCCACTCAAAAATTATGCAGGTCACCATGAGAAGTCAGAAATGTGTTGAGCTGACATGAGGTGTAGCTACTCATGATAGAAAATGTGCTGATGGTCATAGTATTTAAATGATTTAAATTCTGAATGGCAGAAGTGACTCTTGGCTTTTCAAAGCTGTGAGGAGAACGCCAGTGCAAAGCAGCAAAACCAGCAAAACCAGCAAAAGAACTTACTAATGACAAAAGGCAATGTCCACATTATAGTTTAAATACACAATGTCTTTTTGTTCAGACAAACTAACCTTACTTATCTAAACGTATATGTATGAACAGCCATATTAAAGAAGTTTAAGTCACATGGATGCATGAGATAACACATAATGCAGTACTGCATTGTCTTTGGTGAGTGGGGGGACATTACATTAGATGAACTAGAGCCATTTAGAGTGAGCCATACACAGTGAAGCAATATGAGCTTGGTCAACCACGTAAAAGACATACGGCGTCAGACAAGTGTGTGATACATTTTAAAATTAAAATAATGAGACTACTTCAGTCTAATGACTGAAATAATCAGATGAGATTCTGCATACAGCTACACAAACTGACAAAAACAGCAATAATTAGCGCACTATAACTACTGTCTTTAATATATACATAATTTCATCTGTTATAATGGCACTGAAGCTACAGCAGTGGCGTCGGCGGGGCTGCCGGTGAGTGCTCCCACCACATGGCTGCACCGTTTCTGTGTGAAAGGGCACATTCAGAATTTCTGGCCAAAGATTTACAGAGGCTTGCAAATCCTTGGTGAACAAAGGGCATAAATGTCCACCCTAACAAGTGATTTAGTGTAATATTAAAAGTACCGTAATAATACTGTAACAGACAAAAATATAATTGCTTCTTTAAACAAATGAAATTCTATAAAATAAGGTCAACTAAGCTGATATACAAGCAAAAAAGCACATTTTTTAAAAACTTGATATTAAAGAAATAAGATTTTGTCTGAGTGAAAACCAAATGATATATGTTCATACTAAATTAACAAATAAATTACTTGTTAAAGTGGGTATTTATAGCAGTGTGCAATAAATACATCGGGCTAACAAATACAGCAAATACTTACTTGTAAAGCTTATAATACATCTTCAGTACTGAGAGTTGGATCAGCACCTCTGTGACACTGTGATACATTATAAGCTTCACAAAGGTTGTACTGTATATACTGCAGGGCTACTGTGGTGGACAGCATTATATTAGGGTTTTAGTTCAAAAGGAAAAAGCAAGCTGGTGCCTGGAGAGCTCACACTGACTGACATAAGCAGAGACAGTGCGACTTTAAGAAAAATGGGCAAACAATAAAATCAGGAACAGGTTTGATTACACACTTTACACAGCAATGTAACTGGTCGGCGTGCCCTGAAAATGTATGTTTGCTGTCTGATTATGTCCATTATCGAGGCTGGTGCTCTTTGGATACCTCCACTGCTGGTGAGCAGAAAACAAAGGTGTGCATTTGAATGTGTAAACAAAGTAAAAAAGACTTTATGAAGGCCAAAGAAAAATAACAAAGTTCTGCAATGTCACTTTCAAATATGTAACAGAGTGACAAGACGCACCTGGGACACAGAAGCTGGTGGCTGGACGGCTCGCACTGACTGACACAGGCAGAGACAGCGGGACTTCACAGGTAAACTCACAGGTCTGTTCTGTTCTGTTCTAACAGAACAGACCTGGACAGGAACACACTTTAGACAGCGATGCAAGTGAATGCCCTGCAGTGACAAGGTGTGTTTGCTGTCGAATTAATGAGACTGTGGTCTTTGGATTCCACCAATAAAGCATAGAAACAAATATGCGCACTTGAGGGTGTAAGCAACAGCTAGGCTTTATGAAGACCAAACAAAATAAATGAATTAGTAAAAATAAAGTAGTGTGTGTGTGTGTGTGTGTGCACTGTGGTGCCACTTTCAAACACGTAACAACATTAAGAATGACAAAACACAGCTATGACACACATAAGGACACAGAAATACATCCCTTGGCTTTCATTTGGCAGCAGATTCCTTTGGCTGTCCAGATAAAATTGGCAGTGTCTTGCTTTTAAGCCATAAGCACACATACACATTCACTCACACACTTACACATACATACAGTACGCGCATACTGCACATACACGCTGCGTATACAGTACATGATGTAGTACATAACATGCACATAAACAGATATAAATACATATAGTTTTTCATTAAATGCACTTCTGTGTCCACAGATCTCCGCTTTGAAAATAGGAAGGTGCATAAATAAAAACATTCCTGTCATTATAGAAAAGGTCCGTGCGTGCTTGTCCTCTGATTTCACCCAGACTGGATGGGGAGAAAATACGAGGGCATGCACCATCTGGCTGCGTCTCATTCCATCTAACCAGTTTGTGATTTTTGCTTCTCCCTCAAGAATGTGTTGTTGTTTCTCTTCTCTCTGGCAGTGTTTTGACAGTATATTTGTCTTTTTTAGTCTCTCACAGATGAGTGCTATCCTGTGCATCGAATCTCTCTGAGAGCACGGTGCTGCACTTCCTGCTGCTCCCCTGACTGGGCACCAGAGAGAGAGGGTCTGGTCTGATCAGGTACCTGCAGATGGGGCATAGTCAGGGTGGCAAATAGCATCTCGTAATATCTGTAGCTTTCAGGCTGTGTTCATTTTGCCATGTTATCACTTATATTTGGCATCGTGTACTCACACAACATCGTGCAGCTCCAGTCTGGTGTCTAGAGAAGGGTTGATGAGGATGTACGACAGTCTATTCCCTTGGTCTGTCATCCCATCTGACACAGGAAGAAAAGTCGTGAGTGAGGCAGGAAATCAAATAGGCCCAGGATATACAGTGTGCTACATCCGTGAACACAGAATACAGGCTATACAACAAGTCACACGACAGGAAGCTATATCTAGATAAAAGTGGACACAGGTGAAATACATAGTGAGGATCCCAACATTAATCAGTGGCTGTGATTCATGGGGAAGGAAAGAAGAATCAATAAAATTCTGCTAAACAAATGTCTGTGTTGGTTTGTTGGAATTCTGATAGCTGTCTTTTGGCAAAATTTTAAACAATTTAACCTTATAGGCATCTGAAATGCAATAAGGGGCCCCAAGTAAACACTGAGAATTGTTGGTTTAACTTATACAATTATAGCTGAGTCAATATAATTTACTTAGTTACATTCCAGCACAGGTCAACAACAGATCTTCATTTGAGGTCGGAGGCAGATTATTGGTGCAGACTTACTAAATCCAGATGGAGAAAGGCCCAAATGTTTCATCCTCGTTCGCACCAGCGCGTTGAGTTCCTGCCTCTCTGAGCGCCTGAACAGGGTCAACCTCTGCTGGCTGATCCTCTCTGCTGCACTGCCCAGACCCCCCTTGGCCCCGCCGGTGCTCCGACAGCCCTTCCTGCTCAGTCGCCGTGCCCACTGCATGCTCTTCCTCCTGAGCAGCGGGTGGTCTGAGGAGTGTGAGGAGGTGGAGATGGGCTCCGAGGAGGTGGAGTTACGATGCCCGCTGCTCCGGGACAGGAGGGGCTCTCTGGGTTCTCTGGTGTCCTCATAATCTTCCACTGTGATGGATACCTGGGACTGAAACACAGACAAAAGCCTCATGCGGTGTAATCAACCTGTTATCATATAGACTCTATCAAAACAGTTCCTCAGCAGTGCCGTCTCTGATTTCTCACAGTGAAGAGGAATTAATACTTATGGTGCCAGAAACAACATACACTCCAGTCCAACGTTCCTAAGTATGTTTTGTATAACTGAAATAGCTATCACCCCCCTAGTTTTTCTTTAAATTAATACATTTGAATTATTTTACTAATTAATAAAGTAATTGTTATGAATGAAATAGTTTATTAACTGTGTTAACTGAAATATCAGGTCATCACTGCACCAAGTTTAAATGTTTCACACAATGAACACGCCAGAAATAAGATGTGACTATTTTCATATCTGTGTCTTCATGACTTCTCATCCATTTGCTGCAAAAAAAGGACAAATCAAATTAGCATTTGGGGAGATACCTTTATTTTAATAAACCTTACTGGGAAATGCTTCACTCTTTTGAAAGTTTTTTAAAAAGCAGTCTGTGTTTAATTTCTCACAAATCACAAAATGTTATGAATACATTAGTTATGGACAATTTTATGAATGTTGTGGTTTTCCTCTGTATATTTTTAGCTTCACTGTTGGTTTAACAAAAAACATCAGCATTGTTTGTTACTCTAACATTATCATGAACATTATAGCCTCTGGCAGGCCTTTAGAATTTGACCCCTTTTAATTAAAGTGTCTTGTTCAGTCCTGTGACCTTAGCTAGTGGATGGTGGCCACAAAATCCTAAACTACAGTACGGGGGGAGTGT